TGCACTGAACCACCACACATGCCGGGAGACCGGTCGGGAGCTTACGTAAGAGCTTTTGCTGGCTGGGGTGTGGTCGCTCTGATGGGAGATATCTAGATGTGGAAAACCCGTTGGCCGACAAGTAGGTCAGCGACGGATGTCAGCGGAGGGAAGATTACGGCCACCTCCCGAGGTAAAAACTTGCGCAACACTTACGGGACTAATGACCTTAGCAGTTGACGCGCCCGGAATCACTAATTAATCTTTCAATTCTTTACAGAAATGTAAGAATTCGGGGCAGACTGCCCGCTACAGTTCGTGAAATACTTTCTCTATTCATATATTTTGTGATACGCGTTTGGGATGAACATTTCAAATCTGGTAAAATTTACCCATTATTTTTACTTATAATGATGCAGTATTGGGTAAGAAAACACATTAAATTTATATTAACATATTTTTCACTACATGAAACAAATTAGGCGATTGATTTCTCTTTTACGAACATTTCGAAAAACTACACTTCCTGTGTCATCCTTTTACCAAAAAATTACACGAACATGTAAACTAGTAGCGTATTATTCAGGATGTAGCCTGTTTTAGTGACTCAATTTGAGCAATATAATGTGCGATTTTCGAATATTTCTTCTGAGGGCCAGACCTAAAATCGGCTAAATTCCTATGCTGCCCTGGGAAAGCCTGGGGATTCGGCGGTCTGGAGGACAGCCTGCACAAACGGAAGCGTTGTACAGCTTGCGTTCCAAATGTGTCTGCACCTCAACCCGATGCAACAAACTTCCTTTCAAGTCTAGGCCAAGGTCTTCAGTGCACACTTGCTTCGGGTGATGATTCGTTTATTATTTCGTGCTTCTGCGCGCGAACAGGGAGCGATCGCACATCAATATAGCTGTTCCCCGCGGGAAAAACGCCCGAGAATGTCATAGGGAATTGGTGGAAATAATGTCCTTCTATACCGAACGGCCACGTGATGTTAAGGAGAGTTTCTACAAATGACGCGTAGCAATCAGTGATCATCAACGTACGGGACGACCTGTGACACCTGCAGTAGTCCAGCATGTACCTAGTTGCGCCATTAGAAAGGGTACGTAATGATTTTGGAATTTAGTGAACATGTCGTACATGCTAAAACACTTTGGAGCATGAAACCAACTGTCATTTATAATTCCATAATAAATATGAGAATCACAATTTTGGTGTGTCATTAAATATCCATGCACCTAGTTCGTACTTTGTCCTTTCATGTGTACATTTTACACTCGAGCCAAAATGTTGCCACAACTTATGCCCCTACCCTTCAATAATATTGTTACTATTAACAAAAATGTGACAGCTTTAGTAAATTATTTCACGAAGATTTGTCCTTTGCTTTTATGATAAATTTTTGTTATTTCGTATGGAACAGTCTGTTAAAATGGCATTTACGTAGGATTTCTTCACGCTGGTGCACTCCATTGTGGATTAAAACCAGTCAGAACAATCCACTTTCGAAGTTCGCCGACGGTTCCTTGTAAAACAAAGTACTTAACGATATCGCTGTCGAACTTTAGATTAGTAAACTCGCGAGACCTGATTACGCAGTGTCAGAATGGCACAGAACTTACATCAGGGCTCAGTTCTTAAAGGTCGGGACACTATTCTCCCTCTGATAAGAGAGGTTTGCTCGCCACGTCGGCACAACAGAAACTGAAAATGTGTTTTACTGTTCAAAATCGATCGGA